GTGGGGCGGGGTGGAACAGCTTTGGGAGATCAAACTGATGATGCAAGCCCAAGCACACAGCAAGAAAGTAGCCAAGGAGAGATTCTCCCTCCTCCCAAAATGAGTCCCTTGCCAGCCAAATTCCAAGAGCTAAATGGCAGCCGTCTAACCAGATTGGCAAGAGGTCAGACAGAAAGATCAGTAATAATCAGGAAGATTATCAGAAGTAAAGATCTGTAACCACTGCCATTCACCGGCCCCCGAGGCTGTGACTACAGAGAGCAGGAAGCCTTTGCAGGTAGCCTCACTGTTACACATGATTTTTTCTAGCTATGACATATTATTTTTATATCGCCTAAGGATCAAACTGCATTTAAAAAACCATCCTACCGGCTGACTCCATCAGAAGAGCATGTGACTCCTCATCTCAGGGTCATGAGTTCAAGCCCCACATTGGGTATAGAGATTACTTAAATAAACGTTATAACAACAACTTTCTACTACCGCACAGAAACCATGTTACTTTTTCTAAAGAGCATTCATATTCCGCATTTCACTCTAGCCTCAGGATGACACCAGGTGGTACCTTCAGAGACATTATTACTAAAATTAGGCAATCGGGGCAAACAAGGTCGGGAGAGCACCACAAAGTCGCCTGAGGTAGGACAAAGTTACAGAGCTGGGCTTCCAAATCAAGTCCCCACGCCTCAGTTTCTTTATCTGTCCAATGGCAATAATCATACCACCTCCCCTTAGTATCGGAAACATGTAACAGGGGCTCAATAATTGCCACTAATTATTCACTCCAGCTCACTTTATTTCCTACTGTGCCAAGAAACAGCGATCAAAATAAGGACCACTCTCAAATTGTAGATTTTTCAGGGTCTAAAAGGGCCCCAAAGACCCTTAGTTCTTGTTTCCCGAGGCCCTGACCAGAAGCCGACATCTAGAAATCACTTCTTGCTCAATACTCCTCTCCACAGGGACGCATGTGAGAAATGTCTTTTTCAGCTGGTTTCCAGGAAACTCTCTGCCTCCCAGAAGAACTGCTATCTTCCTTTTTTGAAAATAAATATTGAGTAACTTATGTCTCCTGCTCTCTTCACCTTGGCCGTCAGGAAGCTCAAAGCCCAAAGAGGCTTAAGCACATCCTCTCTATCAGCTCTGTAGCTTAGCATATTTGCTGACAGCGGCCATGTGACCTACTGGTCAAGGAGAGGAAAGGAGAAGTCTCTTCGGGGCTTCTGGGAAAGGCTTCCCTCCACTGAGGAGAAGAGCTCCCTCTCACTGCCCCGGCCATGCCCCTGTCTCCTCCTGCTTTGAAACAGGAGCTCCTGGAGCTACTGCTCTCATGGAACCAGGAGGGGGAGGCAAGAGACAGAACGGGAGCTCTGGCATCACGGGGCTGAAGCAAGGCCTAAGACAACACACCCTAACTGGCACACCTTTCTGGCAGTTTGCATTGTAGGAAATAGAAACCGAGCTACATATTTTTGTTAGCGTTTATCCATTTTTGAGAGTTGGGGGGGGAGGGGCAGAGAGAGAAGGAGACACAGAATCCGAAGCAGCTCCAGGGTCCAAGCTGTCAGCACAGAGCCCGACGCGGGGCTCGAACCCACGGACTGCAAGATCATGACCTGAGCTGAAGTTGGACGCTCAACCGACTGAGCCACCCAGATGCCCTGAGTACTTATAATTTTTTTTGCTTATTTATTATTTTTGAGAGGATGGGGGAGGGGCAGAGAAAGAGAGAGATGGAGACACAGAATCGGAAGCAGGCTCCAGGCTCCGAGCTGTCAGCCCAGAGCCCGACATGGAGCTCGAACCCACGGACCGTGAGATCGTGACCTGAGCCGAAGTCGGACGCTCAACCGACTGAGCCACCCAGGCGCCCCCTAGGCTACATACTTTAAGCAGAAAGAGATAAGGGGCTTACTCAATCTTCAGATGGTCTACAGGAAGCAGGAACCGAAACTGGGGCTCCCAGAAAGCCGGCCTCTGCCCCAGCTGGGAGACGGGAGGTCACACACCATCTGCCCGAGCTGGTACCACAGGAGAACACCACCCTGCTGCGTCCAGGCCTCGGGAGCTGCTGCTCAACTGTCGGCTGCAAAGCCATCCCCTGCCTGCTGCACGTGCACCACCGCCAGCCAGCGGGTGTCCCGTGCCTCTTGACACCCAGGAAGCTGCCACCCGGCCCCTCTGCTAAGATCCTAATGCAGACAGCCCAGCCCCACCACAGCTGGGCTTTGCGGCAAAGACAGCGCAGGGGTGGCTTGTGTCCCACCCCAGCTTCTCAATCTCAAGCGGCTGGATCCGATTTTGGCCATTCACGTCGCAAACCTAACCTACAAGGGGGACTGGGAAACGCAGCCCTTCGTTCTCTGGCTTCGGCGGGAAAGGAAGGCCCAGCGGAAGGGGGATGGGCGGCCAGCGCTAATCCACGATACCCGCCTCCTCCCCGGACCCCCTCTCCACAGCCAGACTCTCACATTCGGAATTCCCGACCACGGGGAAAAGAAGCGGAAAAATCCCAAACGTAGCAAGTGCCAGGAAACCCACAGGGTGTGAGGCACACGATCCAGAGAACAATCTAGAAGCATTTCATCTTTGCTTTTGATCTTCCGTTCCAGCTGTATTTACTCTGATATTTTTTACGTATCCAGCTTTTTCCATGTCCTTCGACAGATTTGTAGGAAATCTCTAATAATCCAAGGGAGACACAGAGGCTTAAGTGAATAAATGAGGCACCACGAGAAGGTTTCAAGAACCCCATGCCCTCGTCG